CTTGGCTCTGGTTGTTGGTGCATATATTTGAATGATAGTGGTATTCACTGGACTTCCTTGTATGCGTATAGATATTATCCTGTCACTGACAATAAGGTATGGGGTTCAAATCCACCAGCTGCTCTGCAATTTCCTCTTTTGGGAAATTTACTATAACTCACTGGAGGGTAAGCTATAGGTTAGTTCCAATTCCAGGATAGACAACAACCACAATACCAAAAAGCACTATTATTAAAACTTGATAATTTCAGGAATTATAAACCCCTGTGTCTTTTTTCCTTCCCATTGATATTTGAGAAGCTCCTACCTGCAGAAGGTACTATATGAGCAGACTTTTGCCTTCTGACCTTGTAACTCTTCTTCCCTGACAACTCAGAAACCTCACAGGGTTAGTTAAGCTTTAGTATTGAAAAGAGAGTGTTGTTCCCATTGCAATCTTGAGAAAGAGATATACACTTGCTTATTCTTTCTTTGAATTGGAGGCTTATTTTTACCATTGATATTAGAGACTACAGGATTATGGGTTTTATAGTTCAGTTTACTACCCACCTGCCATTACCATACTTTCCCCCCTATCAAAATAGATTTTAAGTGATCTTGAGTCATAAGTTAGAGGTAAAGTGTCACTGAGCGACTAATTGGATAACAACTTTTTCTAAGTTCTTACAGAAGATGTTGTTGTTATGTGCCATCAATTTGCCTGCAATCCATAGCAACCCTATGTACAAGAGCTCTGAAGCCTGCCCTGTCCTGATCCTGTCTTACTGACTCTGACACACCTACCCCACATTTCCCCAGTTATTGTATCAATCCTTCTCATCCAGGGTCTACCTCTCCTGTGCTGTCCTTCTAGCCTTCTGAGCATGATATCCTTCTCCACAGACTGGTCCCTCTTGACCACGCTCCAAAAGTATGTAAGATGGAGCTTCAAAATCCTAGCCTCCCAGGAGAAACTTGATTTCACCCTCTCTAAGACAGATCTTTTTGTTTTCTTGGTGATTCCATATTATGTTCATGACTCTTCTCCAGCAGCACAACTTGAAGGCATTTATTCTTCTTCTGTCATCCTTAGTTATTGTCCAGCTCTCTGGTACGTAGCAAGTATTGTGAAGACGATGGCCTTGATTAGGCATACCTTAGTCTCTAGACTGACATCGTTGCTTTTCAACACTCTGGAGAGGTCTCTGACAGCAGATTTTCCCAGTGCAATTCATCTTTCAATTCCCTGACAGTTGGTGCCAAGACGGTTGATTGTGGAACCAAGCAAACTGTAATTGTTAACAGCCCTGATCTCTTCTCCATCTATCATTGTGCTTCCTATTGGCCCAGTGGAGAGAATCTTTGTCTTCTTGATATTTAGCTACAATCTATATTGAAAACTACAGTCTTTGACCTTTTGCAGCAAGCACTTCAGGTCCTTCTCGGTTTCAGCAAGCAAGGTTGTGGTGTCTGCATAATGAAGATTGTTGATAAGTCTTCCTCCAATCCTGATGCCACATTCCTTCTCATAAAGCCCAGCCTCCCTAATGAAGATACTTTATATTAAGTTAATATACAATACTATTTGACCTTTATCAATCTGGAATTTGTAATTGTTCAGATTCCAATACTTCCAAGTCTTAAACAACAACAACAGAAAAGCCTTCTTTCATTTCTTGATATACCCTATAAAAGTTTAGCTACTCTTAAACTGATAATAATGCAGTAGAGAAATTCTTTGAATATTCAAGAGTTATAAGGTTTATGTCAATGCACTTTATTAAGTAATAACACAAGACATCTACTACATAGGTTCTGCGAAGGATTCCTAAATGTATTCTTTTTTTCTTTCAAGTGGACCTGTCTAACTCTTGTGTATATAAAAGATGTAAGGAAAAGAATAACATTAATCTCTATGTCCATTAAATACATTGCAAAAGAAGTCCAAGAAATTGGGAATATGTTTTTATCTAACACTAAGAGAAATAGGTTGTCCCACAACAGGATTGGAACAATAATTACAATTAATTCTACAACCTTTGTACCATTTTCTTTTGGTACCATGTTAATTCCTTAAATAGATAAATAAGTATCTATTATTTTTTAAGTCTAAAATAATAAAATGAAAGCCAGTGGCTGGCCAAACCCCATTTGCTTTCTCTGGAATCAGGCCTAAGTTGTGGAATGACTAACAGTGGAAGACCCTCTGGCTTTCTTCACGTGCTCAGCCCGTGGAGAAGACAAATGACAGCCACACTGATTATCACTGGCATTCTTAGTGTCACTCTGTGTATGCAGCCTCAGTGTCGCCCTGTTAATGACAGGCTCCCTAATACATAATTTGTCTTCACTGTACATCAAAATTTTAAGTTGCAAGTGCCAGTAGGAACTTGGGTAGCAGCAGTACTGTTCCCCTTAAACCACAGTCATTAATATCCTTACTCATGTATGGGATTGAGTAAGGGATTCCTGGAGTGTGAGGTTGATTTAGGGATCAGGGATCAGCTGTTGAGGCTGGCACTTGGAAAAGACAAGTCAAGCATTCACACCCCAGACCACTCAATACCAGCATTGTCTCCAATCCATCTTTCATAAGGGGTCCCAGGAGGGGGAAGGGATGAGGCAAGGAAAGAAAATAAACCTTTTAGTTCTGTTTTAAAAAAAAGAAATGCAGAAGAGAGGAAAGAACGAACAAGATACGGGGATGAAAAGTCAGCTGCCGGGAATGTTTAGTGTGAAATAAACTTTGGCTTGAATCTTGGAGTTCATCACCAAGTTTCCTCTCTGATTTATGTGTCTCATGCCATCTTACAGCCCTCCCCCCTTTTCCTAGCTTGCTCAATTTCCTTGCTTCCATTTGCCAAGGTTGGCATCCTTCTCTCCTTTTCCTTCCCCCCATCCGTTTTTCTTTAGGTCCTCATGTCTCCTCTCCTGCCTTTCCCTCTTTCTTCTCTACTTTTCCAGTAGGCACCCCTCTCAGTCTCTCAGCTCCATTCCCTCTTAAGGAATCAGCCAGGCCTCAGATGGAGCTGTTGTCCTGACAACCTAAAGGCGCATCAGCCTTTCATTGAGGCTGGCTGCTGCTGAAGGGGGCAGTTGTGCAAAGCAAGGGGCCACTTGGAGGGGCGGGAGGAGGGGATGACGTGGAGGGGCTGTTGGAAAACAGTGGGGGGAGGGAGGTGATGAGCAGAGAGAGGGAAGGACTGGAGAGAGAAACAGCAAAGGGAGGAGGGGGGAGAGACTGGGCTGCTGCTGCTGCTGCTGCTGTGTGGCTGTTTCTTTACACTCACTGGCAGGCTTGGTGCTGGCTCCCTCGCCTGCCCGCCCAGGAAAGTGGGTTACAGAAGCAAGGAGCTCAGCCCAGAGTCTGGGCATCCCCTTCCTGGCAAAGGAGCAGCCAGCCACACACAGACCAGAGAACATCCTCCCCTTTGGAGACTTGTCTTCTCCTTCCCTAGAGGATTTTCTATTTGTACTCTCCGTTTGTTTTGAAATTGTTCTCCTTTGACTTTTTTCCCCCTTGCTTGGGTTTTATGAGGGCTTTGTGAAGTCTCAGACGAAAAGACACGGAGCAGGGGACTCACACATAACACAGAGAGAGAGAGACAGAGAGGCAAAGTGGACAGGACTACAAACTGGAAAAGCCCGTTCTGCCTTGGCTGTGGATGCAAGCCCCGTGCTGATAAAAGCCCTCTTGGCAGCGAGCAGCACGCACGGCACACACTCCCCTCCAGAGTCCACCGGCCTGCGGACCTCAACTCGGCGTGGCCACCATGGTCGGCAGAGTTCTGCCTGATCGGAAACAGTTGCCTCTGGTCCTACTGAGATTGCTCTGCCTTCTTCCCACAGGACTGCCTGTTCGCAGCGTGGATTTTAACCGAGGCACCGACAACATCACCGTGAGGCAGGGGGACACGGCCATCCTCAGGTAGGGCTTTTGGGCAACTTTTTTTATATGTGAAAATGTGTGTACATGCATGCATGTGTGTGTGTGTGTGTTTTCCTAGAACTACAGTTTCCTATGATGCAGGTGTGTGTGTGTGTGTGTGTGTGTGTGTGTGTGTGTGTGTCTTCTACTGACTGGTGGACGTTATCAGCCAACAAAATTCAAGGGAATTCTGGCCCCTGTCAAGGACCAGTTGTGCTGGTTAAATGTTGTTCAGTCCATGCAAGCTTAACTTCATCTAGGAATTGGTGACGTTTGGGCTATGTTTTTTGCTTTTGTAATTGCTGATGATGCTTTGCACTTTGGAGTTTTCTTGAGCTTCCTTAAATCGGAAAGAAGAGTTGTTGTATGCTGGTTCTGAGAGACTGGAATCTTGTGCTGCATTTTACCATCCTCTCCAGATACAAGTGTGTGTATGTGAGTGTGTGTGTGTGTGTGTGTGTGTGTGTGTGTGTGTGTGTGTGTGTTTTCACATTAAAGCTCTGACTCTTCCCTAGCGGTAGTTCGTACAGAAGACTTTAAGTGAACATGGTCTAATTGACATGGAGGGCAATAAATCAATCTGAGAACTTTGGTTGGTTACTGACTTTGCTTGAATGTGGGCAGAAACAAACACTAGCTTGAAGAAGGAGGGGATAAAAAGAAAAAAAGAGAAGGTCTTAGATTGCTTTTACTTGAGAATAGGGGTATTGAACACCCAGATTGGAAAATTAACCTAGCATAAAATGGATATTTCAAATTGATTATTGACCAGAAAATCTTATCTCTATTGCTCTGTCAAGCTCTGAAATATCATTTGGCATTGGAGAGGAAGAGTCTCAAGTCCTTGGGAGTTTGACCCCTATAAGGGACAGCGAGCTAGAGAAACTCAAGTGGAACCAGTCATCATTTGAGTTCTAACAAGCCCCAAACTTCTTTTCCTGTATGTCTCATCTCTCTTCCCTGTCTCCGCATATGATACATACCCCTCATCTCCCGAGCTTTCCTGGAATTTCATTTAGACACTGAGAGAAAAAAAGAAAGCAAACGCTGTCCTTGAGGATCTTTTAAAACCTCATTTCATCCAAATAAAATGGCCTTGTGTCAGTCTGTCTATCTAGCTAATATTGCTTGTTGTGGCAATAAAAAGCAGTACACGATAGAAAATAAACCTCTAATCTGTGTGCAAGGAGCTGATAGTGCATAAACCCTCAGGCATCAGGGAGCAGTTTTGTAGCAGAGCTGCCGACAGCAGCAAAGTTTTCTTCTTTTTCTCAGAAATAAATTTGGTTGGCTGTCACCGAGTGTCCTGCTTTGGGATCTCTAGCCTTGTTAAGGGGGAAAGTGTGTATGGATGCAAAGTGTGTAAATGTATACGGATGTGTGTGTGCTTTCCTTCAAATAGTAAAAAGTGAAAAAGTCTGGATGTATATCTTCCTTCATTTCCTGAGCATGCAGTGATTATGAATCCCAGAGATCCTACCATCCAAAGCATTTTCCCCTGTAGCTTTCCAGCCTTGTAAACCTGCATGTGTGATTTATCCACATGGAGTAATAAGCCTTATTAGATTTATAGAGCAATTTGTCTGTTTGCAAAGGGATTTGGACATGCCGCCCAAGATGTTTTGCAAACATCCAAAGATGCCATCTTAACTGCTACCATTCATGTTCTCTAATATCATTAACCCTTTACTGCTAAAACCCTCTATGTAAGTCCAAGCTAGCCATAGAAGTTGTTTCTTGGGATACTGTTTCTTTTTTTTTTTTATATTAGTTCAAATTATAATATAAGAAAAGTATATAGTTGTTCTTATTTTAATATCCATGAACTTTATAAAATATTTTCCATTAAGAATCACCACTGTCTTAAGCTATAATTACTTTAAGGCTGCATGAGCTTAGTTCAGAAGAAAAACATACTCATAGTTTATATAGTATATAGGCATAAAAGTTTGTGACTATATGGCATTTTCACTACATAAATATCTGCATATGTTCTTATGTGCTTCTGCGTGTCTGACTCAAAGGAAAAGGAGGTTTTAAAATATTACACTTCAGTAGAACCACAGTGTGTGGAAACGGGGATAGTGAGAAAAGAGCCTAAATATAGAGCAGTTATTCCCTAGGAAAGGGAAGATAGACAAACAGAGCATGCAAAGTAGTCACCTGTGAGAGTCCAGTGCTCTGCAAATTGCTTTGCCAGCCTTCACCTAACATGCCCTCTCTTCACTTCCTTTGCCTTGGACAAGGCTCTATTTCTGGATTGGTGGAGTTCTGTCAGAAGTAACTATTGAGAGAGTTGCCTTTGTTTTCTTTACTGACCTTCTTCTCAATTCCTAAATGAATCCAGTAAGCTTTGTGGGTCAATTTCCTGGTGAAGAATGGTTCCCTTGCTTTTTGCTTACAAGTCTGCTCTGGGAAAGGCTTGCTTTTCATTTTATTTGTGACATTTTACTGGGAGCATGGGCTTCTAGCAGTGGAGAGGAAGGAGAACTTGATTCATTGGAAGTTACAGTAGATGTTTGGCTCTGTGAAAGGGAAAATGGCAAAGGGGGGGGGGGAATCCCTTCTTAGTGAGTCTAAAGGCTTGGGTAATCTAGAATGTAAAGAGGCAAAGGAGAGCTGTAAATCTGGTCCATTGACCAGAGGTGGCTGACTGTTCTCACTATTCAGTGTTTTGCTTCCATTAAAAAAGTTTGATAATTGATACTTGGTTGTACAATCATTATCTTTGAGGAAAGTGTACTTTGATAGGATAGCATATATTACATAGAAAGAAAGGCTCTGTAATTTCCAACTTTTCTGGGGGGAAACTGTAGAATGTTGGTAACAAAACTGGAGAAAAAAAGAAACATGCTCTCATTTATGCATATTTTGATTGTTTCTAAGTACTTATTGACCTATAATACATTGACCTATACTTGAGTGTGAGCAATTGTTAAGAGGACCCCTACCTTTGGTCCAGCCAGATCTTTTTAATTAATTTTATAGAGTTGTAGGAACCACCATCATAGCAGGAACACCTCAGGCCCTTTTCTATAAGAACTGGCCTTGTTGCATTTTAGCAAGATCCTCTGGTGATTTGTATACATATTCAGTTCTTAGGTCTCAGGGTAATACGCTTAGGACTTGGTTTTTCTGTCCAGAACCTATCTTTATTACAGGCACAACCCACAAGCTTATCTGCCCCTGGACAGTGGTTCCTTTAGCTCACTACTTTGTACAACTGCCCTCATAGAATCACCTCTTGGTTACCTTGGCAGGTGAACACCTTGCAACCCTCTTGATAAGGAAGGAAAAAGGGGCAATAAGTAATGTTCCAATTCAATATTTACCATTATTTTTTAACAATTCCATTGGCCACACTCTCAATATCAGCAAATAATTATTGTTATAAATACTTAACCCCATAAACCATGATAGTTATATAATTTAGTATGTGCTAATGTTAATTTATCCTTTCATCAGAAATTTTGTAAAAATTCCATGTATCTAGACATTTACCAAAGTACATATTTAATAAAAATTCAAACTTCACACTAATGTGATCTCAAGTATCTTTGATATGTTTGAGTGCATCGTTACAGTCACTGTATCAGTCCATCTTGCTGAAGATCTTTCTCTCTAACACTCTACCTTTTCCAGTATGATGTTCTTTTCCAAGGACTGACCCCTCCAACAGCATGCCTACAGTATGGGAGGTGAAGTTTTACCATCCTTTAAGATCCCAATTGCACTCCCTTTAAGATAGACATGGTTTATGGTCTTTTCCCCAATCCACAATAAAAACTTTTCTATTTTACTGCTAATATTTGATAGTTAAATGTGAGGACTTTGTGTAAAAATCAAGAAAAAAATTAATCTTCTGTAAAGCATCTGGAACACTTACACTGTATGAAGATGAATCAATACTTACACACAATTTGTCATTTTCTGCCACTTCATAGTCAATGTGTGGAAACAAACTTTCTTTGGGCAAGAGTCTACAGTGTTAGTTTGTCATGGTTGTGATTTTGTTTTTCTATAGCCAAACCACTCAAGGTAATGAAAGTTTATTGGTTATTGCTGACACTTTCATGAGGATTTGTTATGAGAAGATTTATCAGATAGAATAAATTTTTATCTTCAAATTAATATCATTAACTTCTCTTTTTTTTGCTTTGTTAATATATTATAGTTAATTTTAAAAGAAGTTTACAGGGACATTGGATTTCCATTCATTCATTGTTGCACTTTTTGCCCTGCCTACCTCTCTTCCCAATTCTATCTTCTCTTTGAAAAGTAACAGAAAAATTTTTTTTCATTGTTATACAATCCCTTTCACCAAGTCCACTTCACTATGTGCCTTCATTCTGCACTCCTGTCATGACAGTAAAACCTAATCATATATCTCTTTTAAATAGTTCTCTCCCTCATCTGTTTCAATTCAGTATACATTATTTATCCCCTCCTTCCCTCAGTTTCCCGCCAACCCCAATGTCAGTCCCGTTTTACAACAGTGACATTATGGTGTATTTGTCTTTTTTTGTGACTGAGATATTTCACTCAGCATAATGTCCTCCAGGATCACCCATTTCATATAATATTTCATGAGTTCCTGGTTTTTCAATGTAGCATAGAATTCCATTGTATGACTATATCAGAACTTCTCTATCCATTTGTTTGTTGATGGGCACTTGGCTTGTTTCCAATTCTTTGTTATTGTGAACAAAGCCACAATAAACATAGATGTGCATATATCTACTTGGATGGTGATAATCGTTTATTCCTAGTAGTGGAATTTCTGGGTCAAATTGTATTTTTATTTGCAAGGTTTTGAGAAAGCACCATGCTGCCTTCCATAGTGATTGCACCATTTTATATTCCCACCAACAGTGAATAAGGGTTTTAGTTCCTCCGTAACCTCACCAGGATTTGTTGTTTGCTTTTCTGTAAAATTTTGCCATTCTTACTGGGATGAGATGCTATCTCATAGTTGTTTTGATTTGCATCTCTCTTAGAGC